CGCTCCTTCGCGGCCACCCCCTTGTTCGCCTTGAAGCCGGACGGGTCGTTTCCCTCTTGGGCGCGGATCCGCTGGACTCCAGAGTAGGCCGCCTTCAGGGCCTTCTGCGTGGGACCCTCGTGGATTCGCGCGGCTGAGAAGAAGTTCCAGTTGCCCTTGATCTGCTCCCACAGCAAGACCGTGCCGTTGCCGACTCTGGCCAAAATGTGCCCCCCTTCGCGCCTGCATTGTATTTGAGCGTCGGGTTCGGTTTCGCGTAGCCGGCGTTCGGCCCCTCGCCCTATATGCAGTGATCGGTTATGGCACGCAGATGAAGTGCAATGCTATGCTACGTGCTCTAGTGACATACCAGGTCAGTCAATGATCTACCATGGGAAACATTCCGCATCAATGCAATGCGAAGCCATGGGAACTTGAAATATCAGTCCCTTCCTTTCCTAGATGATCATGTCGCATATTCTGAAGCCCGAACGGCACGTCGACACAAAGGTGCACCACCTGGCGCGGATAGTAACGCGTATCGTTTTTGTATTTGGAGTTCGTTTACCTCCCGCTCCCCACGATCTTATATAAGTCTTAGTATTGGGTTATGTTAGGGTGAGGCTGGCAATGGCGATGATAATGATGAGGGCGGGGTAAAGATGGGGATGAGGATGAGGACGACAATGATCATGGTGATGACGATGATGACAGTCAGAATGGGAAAGACGATGGTGTCGATCATGATGATGGGAATGGTGGTAACGATGGCGATGACGAAGATGGTGGTCATGCGATGAGGAACTTGGTGATCATGGTAAGGGGTCGATGCAAGTGGTGATGGGGAAGACGATTGTGGTGGTGCTAAGAGTGATGATGGCGATAATGACAAGGATGTGTGTGACGATACTGATCAAGATAGCAGCAATGATGCGGATGGTGATGACGATGTGGATTTTGTTGATGATGTTGATGTTGATGATGATCAAAATAATGATGATGAAACTGATGAGGATGATGAGGGTAAGCATGATGGTTCGGGTGACGGGGATGAGGATGAAGATCGATATGGTGAGTGTGATGATAATGTTATGTCCGATTATGATGATGATGTTGATGATGATGATTCTGAGAACGATGACGACAATGGTGTTGATGATGATGGCTGATGATTGTTTGCCAGTGGCCTTCCTCGTCGTCCGTCGTCGTCGTTGTCTTCGTCGTTGGCGTCGGCGTCGGCATCTTCGAGTTCGTCGTTGTTGTCTTCGTCGTTGTCGTCGTCGTCTCCTGCGTCGTTTGCTGGTGGCGATGTCTTGGTCATCGTTGTCGTTGTCGTCGTCGGCCGTCGGCGTCGGCGTCGGCGTCGGCGTCGTCGTCGTCGTTGTCGTCGTCGTCGTCGTCGTCCGTAGTCGTCGTCGTCGTCTTCGTCGTCGTCGTCGACGTCGTCGTCGTCGTCGTCGTCGTCGTCGTCGTCGTCGTCGTCTGCTGGCGGCGGCGGCGGCCAGGGAGGGCGGGGTTCATGCGATTTCGGGACCCCTCCGCTAGTTTTCCTGGGCAGGCGCGGGGGTGTTCTGGACCCGCCCAATAGCTTGTCATGAGGGGTCGGACCTCCCCGTTCTTGAGGAGGGGGGGCGGGCGGGCTGGTGGGGGGGAAGCGGGAGTCCAGCGATGGTAGATCGCGCTCCCTCAGAGTTTCTCGATCCTGGATGGCTTTGCGGTGGCCACGGCAGCCCTGAGGCACCCCGAGGCCCTCAGAGATCGACCCAGATTTTCGGATGCAGCTCCTGGGAGGTCGAATTCTGGCTTAGCCCTTGGCATCGCTCGGGCGTGTGCATTTTTCCTTCGGTGAGGACCATCCAGGAGCATCCTTGATCATTTGGCGAAAAAGCCACGCACGAAACCGAAAAAGAACAAAGGGAATGGACGTCCGAGCGATGGCCAGAGCCCTGAACCGAAATTCCGTTAAATCCCGCTTGATCCAGCTTATGTCCGGTCAATCCCGCGGCCCAATCACGCGCAACAGCACCCCATGGGCCCAATTCTCCCTGATCCTTCCGACGAGGACCTCCCAGTAGTTGACACCTAACAGAATGTGCCTCTTGATTGCTGATTGCAAAACTTCTTGTCGACTTTGCGTGTTGGCTCAACCTATTGGCCTACGTTTTGGCGAACGTATCGCAGCAGACCTACGTTTTAAGTCTACGTTCTGAGTCCCGTATCAATGCGCAACGTGTTGCGTGGTGCGTATTTGGGAAGCTAATTTTCCTATTGCCATACATCTTGTCGTACCCAGACCTCCGACGTCTCGATTTTTTCACAACGTCGACCCCCAGAGGTCTGGACCCCTTCCCCGGGACCGGTTCTTCATCCCGAGTCGTTTTTTGACGGCCCCAGGGCCCGGTGAGGGCCCCCAAAGGCCAGAAAAAGAGAAAAACCTCCCGTCGTGATTCATGGGCTTACGCCACACCGCCGACCCCTTGGGATATCCGGTAAGGCCTTGGGCGGGGGGGGTCCGTGCAGCATTAACAATATGTCTCTCGCTATCTCGCGCGTGGTTTGTTCTTGTGCACTGGCCCCCCATGTCGCCGCGCCAAATTGCCGCCGCTTGCTGCGGCCTCGCATCAGGACCACTCTCAGCAACTTGGTACGTTTGTATGTACTAATGATCGTACATATACATATACATATGTGTATATATACAGAAGCACATGCAATCTTAGATTGTACACACACGCGTACATAACATGGGCAGGCATGCGTGCACAGAGGTGGCACTGCACGGTGCCATTCGACAGCGTGTTTTTGGGCTCAAGAATTGGCTCGTGGTGGGTTCATCCGGCGCCAGCGACAGCGGATGATGTTACAGTCGCGAGCGACAGCGACGCGTTCTTTGGCCAGTTATTTGCAGATCTTAATTAGTTGTTGCGTGTGCGGGGCATGGGAGGGGTTGAGCCCATCGCTCGGTGGTGTGCCGAGCGTGCCACGAGCATAGCAGGTAGCAAAGAAGTTGGAATGCAACGCGTGCCCCCAGAAAACGGACAGATCCAAACCTACGTTCACGGACGCCGACCATCTGCCGAAAGACCAGAAGAATAATTATTTCCTCCGATGCACTCCTGTGGTGTGCGCCACGTGCCATACGGCGGAACGGGCCCCTCCGAGAGAATCGCCGAAACGCCCAGCGGAGGCGATCGACGAGCACGGCGGGAAACAACGCAAGTTGACGGGAATCTGACCGCGAGTCGCGCGCGCGCCGTCTTCGGGGATCTCTGGTGCCGTCGTCAGCCCCTCGTGTCCCGTCTGAACGCCCTCTTTGACTGTTGAACAGGCACTCGTGGAGCATTCTTGGACGTCTTGGAGCGTTCTGTGGGGGCTCGGGACCCTCTTGGAACGCATCTCGGAGGCCCTCGGGGGGGCTCGTGGGGACCTCTATTGCCGTCGAGGACGCCTCCGAGCTTGTTTTGGGGCCACATGGAGGCCTCTCGGAGCGCTCCTGGAACGCTCTTGGAACCGTTTTTCGGAGCCCTCTGAGGCCGTCGTGGACGCCTCTGAGCCCGTCTTGGAGCCCTCCAGGGATATGTGGGAGACCCTCTGGGAAGCTTCTGGGACCGTCTGGGGCTGGGTTGGGGGGCCTCGTGGGCCGTCGGATGCATCGGAAAGGCCCAAAGCTGAATGTATGAAAAATGTGCGTTTCACGAAGGGGATGGACCAATTTTTCCGTCTCGGAACCCTCTGGAAACGCATCTCAGAGGCCATGGGGGGGCTCGTACGGACGTCGTCTGCCATCCAGGACGCCTCGTGGCCCGTCTTTGAGCCAACGTGGGCGTCTTGGAGCGCTCGTTGGGCGTCCCAAACCCATTGCGAGGCCACCAGGCGAGTCCCTACACGATTGTCAGAGGATTTGCACGATTTTTCAAAGGTTTGCACGATTGTCGGAGCGCTCCTGGAGCGCTCTTGGAACTTTTTTCGGAGCCCTCTGAGGCCGTCGCGGACGCCTCTGAGCCCGTCTTGGGGCCCTCCAGGGATATGTGGGACACCCTCTGGGGCGCTTCTGGGACCGTCTGGGACTGGGTTGGGGGGCCTCGTGGGCCGTCGGATGCATCGGAAAGGCCCAAAACTGAATGTATGAAAAATGCGCGTTTCACAAAGGAATGGGCCAATTTTTCCGTCTCGGAACCCTGTGGAAACGCATCTCGGAGGTCCGGGGGGGGTTCGTAGGGACGTCGTCTGCCATCCAGGACGCCTCGTGGCCCGTCTTTGGGACAATTTGGGCGTCTTGGAGCGCCCGTTGGGCGTCCCAAATCCCATTGCGAGGCCACCAGACGAGTCCCTACACGACTTTCCAAGGTTGTGCGCGATTTTTCCTCGGTTTTGTACGATTTTCGGGGCGCTCCTGGAGCGCTTTTGGAACCGTTTTCGGAGCCCTCTGAGGCCGTCGTGGGCGCCTCTGAGCCCGTCTTGGGGCCCTCCAGGGATATGTGGGACACCCTTTGTGGCGCGCTTCTGGGACCGTCTGGGACTGGGTTGGGGGGCCTCGTGGGCCGTCGGATGCATCGGAAAGGCCCAAAACTCAATTTATGAAAAATGTGCGTTTCACAAAGGAATGGGCCAATTTTTCCGTCTCGGAACCCTCTGGAAACGCATCTCGGAGGTCCGGGGGGGGGGTCGTGGGGACGTCTTCTGCCATCCAGGACGCCTCGTGGCCCGTTTTTGGGCCAACTTGGGCGTCTTGGAGCGCTCGTTGGGGCGTCCCAAACCCATTGCGAGGCCACCAGACGAGTCCCTACACGATTTTCCAAGGTTTTGCACGATTTTCCCTAGGTTTTGCACGATTTTCAGGACGGATGACCCCTCTGGTCCCTCCTGGGGCTTTTGAGTACACCCCCCCCCCTCCCAAATCGACCGGACCGGGCCCCCGGGGGAGGGGTTTGGGGAGGGGGAACATCTCACACGCCGATGAACCCCAAGGGGCCGGCGGATTTTCTCACGACGCGAGGAGGTCTGGTCCTGTGCGCCCCTCCGGCTCGAGGCCGCACCGCTCCGGCCCGCCATGCACGCGCCGGCCGCCCCCGCCCCGCACGGGGCGTCCGTCGCGCGGGGCGCCTGCGGGGAAGCCACCGGCCCGGCCATGGCGGCACCCGGCCGCGCCTCTAGGAGCCAAGCAGCGGCGAAGCGCCCACCAAGGCTCCTCCTCCTCCTCCTCCTCCTCCTCCTCCTCCTCCTCCTCCTCCTCCTCCTCCTCCTCCTCGTCCTCCTCCTCCTCTCCTCCTCCTCCTCCTCCTCCTCCTCCTCCTCCTCCTCCTCCTCCTCCTCTCTCCTCCTCCTCCTCCTCCTCCTCCTCCTCCTCCTCCTCCTCCTCCTCCTCCTCCTCCTCCTCCTCCTCCTCCTCCTCCTCCTCCTCCTCCTCCCCCCTCCTCCCTCCCTCTCTCCCTCCTTCCTCCCTTCTCCCTCGTGCTGCCTCTGGCGCCCGCGGCCTGAGCTCCTCGCGAGACCAGCCGCGCCCTCCGGCCCGCGTGTGCTTGCGCGCGCGCCGAATGGGAGGGAGGAAGGGAGGGAGAGGGGGAGGGAGGGAGGGAGGGGGCCAGGAGGCAGCGGCGAAGCGCCCACCAAGGCGAGCGAAAGAAGGACGTACACGTACATGAATCCACGCTGTTTTCGAGATTTCGCATGGCGCGAACACCCGTAGCACGCGGCCGGTCTCGCGGGTCACGGGGCCGTGTTCGTGTACATAGCTGGGCGCGTGCGTCCTTTGTGGGTTCCCTAGTAAGAACCTCTCTGTGGTTTGCACGAGGTGGTCTTGGGGCTTTCCTGGCCGGGACAGTCTTGTCCTCATTAGCCGAGTTCGTGCCTTTCGAAACAAATGGTTTCGGTTATTCGCACACTCTTTGCTCCCCAGAGCATGTTTCGTGGTGGGAAGACATGGGGCGACGGGACGGCCGGTCTCTGTGCACAGGAGCGGGGCGGCAGCGGCGCCACCCGAGCCGGTGGAGAAGGCGCAGGCGATCTCGTCGTTGTCGCCGTCGTCGTCGGCCGTCGTCGTCGGCCGTCGTCGTCGTCGTGGCGCAGGCGATCGTCCAGCAGCTGCTGCGACTCGCGGCCGAGCTCCACGACGGGCCAGCGGGCGCCGGCGGCTCCGGCCCCGCGGCCCCGCGGCGCCCCCGCGCCCAGGGCGAGGTGCAGGCTGCGGACGCGGCGCTGCAGAGGTCGGCGGCGAAATTCCAGTCCCTACCATCGCCGATCCCTGAGATCCTGGTGACTCAACCTTTTCGAGGTGGGCATTTTCGCCCAGTTTCGGGCCCCAGGACCCTCACATATTGATCCGGCTCGAAAACTGACGCAGGAAGATGGGGTCTAGGGTTCCGGTTGTGATTTCTAGCGATTATATATTTTGTTCGAGACATCGGATCTCAGGGGTGAACGATTCAGGCATTCCAATGGGCGGCGGCGGCAGGGTTCGGAATTTGTCGAACACGCGGCAGCACCCGAACGCTCCCCCCCGCCTCCCTTCGATGCATGAGAAAAGGGTTGGTTGGTGGGGGTCGGGTTCGGATGTCGCCACCTAGAGGAGCCTGGCGTTCCTGCGCGACCTCGACCGGCAGTCGGAGGCCCTGGCCGGTCTCCGCGTGCCGCTCGGCGCGGTGATCGAAGAAGACTAAGAATAACAGGAAGAAGAAGAAACAGGATCGGCTAAACGTGAGAGCGGCCTTTCGCTGGAGAGACTGGCACGCTGCGGTTCCAGATGGCTGCATGCGATACGATGACAGCGGCTTGCGCGCCCAGGTTCGGCCTCCCCGCGGCCCCCGAAAGTCGCGCACCAGATGTCACTCTTGCCTAGGGTTACTCTCACGTGTAGCCGAACAGAAGAAAATACGGAATAAGCATTAACTTTCGGAGCTCCGCTCGGATTCCTTGGATCCGCGCTAGAAGCCCCTGGCGGGGCCTCCGGCGCAGCCCCTGGCGCGTTCCGCGCGCCAGGGAAGCGGGGGCGTCAGCGCCGATCAGAGAAACCCGCCCGGAGGTCCGGCAGTTGCCGCGTGTGCCGTTTCTGCTCCTCCAGGTGAGGCACCTGGACGGGTCGACGCTGAGCCTGCTCCACTGGTGCCACGGCCTGCGGCGGCGGCTGCAGGCCTCCAACGCCGAGGCTCGCCGCTGTGCGGCCCCGCTCGCCGAGCTCTCCGAGAGCCTACGCGGCGCCGGCTGGGCAACGCAGGGCGCCTGCGAGGTGCCGCCCCCCATGAAGCGGCGCCGGGCGGAGCCGCTTGCGGGCGACGCTGTGGCCACGGGGTGTCGCGGGGCCGCCTCGTAGGGGAAACACTCTGTGCCGATGTGTGCTTCTTGGCAGGTCGCAATCCTTCTCCTCCTCCTCCTCCTCCCCCTCCTCCTCCTCCTCCTCCTCCTCCTCCTCCTCCTCCTCCTCCTCCTCCTCCTCCTCCTCCCCCTCCTCCTCCTCCTGCTCTGAGCTGCCTTGACTTGTGCATGCTCACCCTTTTGGCGGTTGAGGGCGAGGGGGTCTGAGCCTGCTGGGGCCTGTGGTGGCACAGCGCTGCTTCTGACCAACAGGAAGGGGGGGGGCGGGGGGGCGAGGTTCGAGGTTATGGGTTTGAGACGGTTTTGGGGGGAATCGGGTAAGTATCGGGGGTCCATGTTCGGGCCCAGGGACTGTCAAGCACGAATCAGGGGTGAAAGACTGCACCAAGTGGAGTCTGTGAGGGGTCAAGGGACTGATTTGGAGCAGCTTGTACTTCCCCGTCTTCATAGACGTTCTCGGGCCCCATCCAGCTCAGACTCCCCGGCCGCCTCCAATGCAGATCGCAATGTGTCGGGCTGCCTTGATTTATTCCTGCTCATACTTTGGCGGTGGCGGGGGAGGAGGTGGATAGATCTGATGCTGAACCTCTGAGAAGACTGATCAGTTTGAGGATGAGGCTGCTTGTGGACGACAGCCCGTGCATGTAAAAGCGGACATGCTCATGCGTATGCCGCATGCGTGCACACGTGCCCGGTTGCGGTAAGATTTGGCGCGGCGCAGGAGGGTGCCGACGAGACTGAGAGAGGTGCCGCAGTCACAGGATCAAGGCTTGGCTGGCTGCGTACCCAAGGTGCCCCAGAGCTCAACAGCAGGGTACTTAGCGGTAGCTGAACACAGCAGATGAGAGGTCGGCGTTTCGGGGTGTGTTCTCGATTGTCGTGGGGTTTCTGGGACGGCTGATCTGGTTCGTTGCCCCTCTTGCACGTTCCTGCTAGGGTCGTTGCTCTTGAGCTCTGGTGCTAACATCTTACTTTTGCCAACGCCCCCATGCAGGTCGCCTTATTACTTTTCCAGGTTATATTGGCTTTGGCAGTGGTGCAGTCTGCTTGGACATGCTACCTCATTGCTTGCTCGCTGCCCAAGGAGGGCATCGAAGCTGCACGCAGGATAGGTGAGCTTGCGAGCAGGATGCTGAAAACTGGGTTCATGCATTCCGAAACAGACCCACAGAAGCAGAAGATAAAGCAGATGGTCGTCATGTCACGGGTTGAGCTCTTCAGAACGCTGCTGCCCCTTGCAGCAGGATTGAACACATGTTTATTGCTCGATTATTTCGTTCGTAACCGACTCTGGGCCGTATTTCGCTGGTCATGGTACGGGGTGCCCTCCGAAGTAGAAGACGCGGCGCAGCACACGACTACGACGATGGTATTGCTAATCAGGCAATTCGTTTCGACTCTTTGGCTTGCCTTCCCGCGCCTTCAAACTCCCAGCTGCATTCGTATCGGAATAGTTTTGGTGTACGTACGCCTTGCATTTGAGGCGCACATGCAGTGCGTGGGGGACCTCGCTGTTTGGGTGGCCGTTACAGCACCGGTTCGCCTTGGGGCCAGCCTCATGCTCGGCGACGTTCTCGTGACCACATGCTTGAACGTGTCGTTGTCCACGATGGTCTTCTGCTTTCACACCGATGGGTGGCACCTTACTTCCCAAGTCTACACCTGCGCTTGCATATTCTGCGTCAACTGGGCCATAGACTGCTTGCGCTACGCGCAGTGCAAGTCCGTGCTGGAGGCTAGGATATCCCACAGTGTGGAGGTCGCGGCGGATGGGCTGCTGAGCCAGCTGTGCGACGCGGTGGTGCATCTGGGAGAGGACTTTGTCGGATTGAAAGTTTACGCAGGGCTCGGCAGCAGCAGCAGGTCAGAGAACGTGGGGCCTCGCGAGCGTTTGCGCCCCCTTGTCACCACTGCAGGTTCTACAAATGTCCTGGGCGCTGAGTTTCCCCATTCGTTCCCCTATCCATACCTCTTTCTAAGTCCCCCTGCTCATCCACCTGGCGAATTCCCTTACTAATTCCCTCGCGCCGAGCTCTCCGATTGTATTGTGTTGCGATCCCGTCTCGCAGACCAGCCTTCGGCATGGAAGAGCGTCAGGGCTGAGCGTGGATGCAGATCAGCACCGCGTGCAGTCATCCACCACATGTTGTGACCTGGAGCCTTTTTACTATCCTTCGATAGCGCCCGTTACTGGTCCCGCCCCCTCCCCTCCCGCCCAGTAATGTCACGATTCGCGCTGGCGCCATCTGAGAATTACCCTTTCTTCTGCATTCCCAGACTGCGCCAGACGGCGCCGGCGCAAGGCGTGACGTTACCAGCCTCCCCCCCAGCCGCGCCCCTAACTGCCAGAGGATTTTTTAATGTGTCTTGTCACCATTAACAATGCACCCGTCAGTCTCGCTGAGCCGACCCCTATCCCCAGTCCCATTCCCCATCCAGACCCCCACCACTTCAGCACCCTGGTTGGGGGGATACCCTTCGAAACGCGAAGGAAACAGCCCACATCCCCATCTCCATGGGGGTAGGTCGGCCAGGGGGGCCCAGGCCGCGCCTGTGGGGATCGGGGTCGATTAAGTGATACTCAATCCAGACTGCGCGTCCCGCAGCGGCTCCCACGACGAGGACCACGACGACGACGACGACGACGACGACGACCTTGCGAATGTCGCTCGGCTTTTGGCTCCTCGAGGACATGCGGATCACGCAGCCGTCGCCCCACCTCGCGGCGCTGCTCCTCTGGCCGTCCTCCTGCGGTGGGATGCGGAACGTCTCCTTCCTCGACCTCTTCTCCTGCAGCGCGGAGTCCGAGCTCGACGAATCACAAGCGGCACAAGCATACTCCGAGTTTTGAACATAAGCGTCGGGGGGGCGTCACCCACGCCGACAGCCCCACATCGACCCCTGTCGCAGGCGGCCACAGCGCGCCGAAGGCGCTCCGACCCCCCGTCGCGGCGCGACGACGATGCGAGGTTGAGCCCCGTCGGGGGGGTACCTCCCCACGTTTATCAATTCATAAACCCAGGGTAGACTTTTTGGGCTTCGCGCGGATTTTTCGTATCGGCGCTGGACCCCCCTTCAGTGGATCGCGCAGCGACCCAGAGGGGGCCCAGCGCCGATCCCCGAAGTCCACGCGGGGCCCCGCGAGCTTTATGTACATGCAGTTCCGCCCTGTAGATCTCGTCGACCCCTTCTCCTTCCTCGGGCTCTTAGCCTTCTTCGGCCTCTTCTCCTTCCTCGGCCACTTCCCCCCTCGCCACCCTCTTCCTTGCTGGCGAGGAGTCCGAGCGGGTGCGGGGGTTCCTCCTCCGCGACACCCCGGGCGCTGACATGCTGCATGCGTCCATGAAGGACTGGGCTGCGCGCGCAGACCAGGGGACACGTTGGGAGGTGGGAGGAGTGGGAGGGGCCGCTGTTGCTGCCAGGCTGCTGAGGCACGGTGAAAGTCTCCTGCATCATCGACACGTTCTCGGCGATGTTCAGCGGGGGCGGTACAGAGTGACCCTGACTTGCTGTTGTCAGGAGGGGAGTGGCGTGCTCAACACATGGGGGCCTGTTCTTCCTTTGCAAGAGAAGCACCGCGCAGGAGAAACGAACACACACTGAACACCTCTGGGGGAGGGAGGGAGGGAGGCGGGGCGGAGGGAAGGAGGTAGGAGAACCATCGCATGCTACTCGAAAGGAAAGCGACAGGTTAGTCGACACGGGCCGACTAGTCGTTTTGCCGGTACTTGTGCGATTGTTACGCTTGTTAGTCGAACTCTTTCCTGCCTGCCACCGTGGCTTTAGGAGCTGGGCGGCGCGAAACGGACGGGCCGGGCGGACTGCTGCCCACATCGAAGTTGCGGACGGCGGCCTGGGAGGAGCAATTGCCATGCACAGAGGGGAAATGGTTTCGGGACATTCTCGTGTAATTAGCTCAGAGGTTTTAGTGTGCCATCGCTGTATGTGCCCAACTATGCGGCCGTGCGACGGAAGACTCAGCGTCAAGGTCGTCGCATGCATAGAGCACGTGCCCACGGAACGCTTGGCGGATGCCTGAGAGAAAAGCCGGGCGCGATTCTCGCGGTCGGGAGATCTACGTGCTTCAAATGCGAATAGGCACGAGGCACGGGGCTTCTGCGGCGTATTTCAGAACTATATGGAGACACTTGCTTTCATAACGGGCAACGTCTCCTGGGCGGAAGGGCTTGGGGTCGAGGCCGTTGCGGCTTCGCCGGATCTCTGAGAGCTTTGGTTTGTCGCGGCCCGATGTTGTGCAAGCTTCGGTCTCGTCCTGCGAGGACTCCAACGATGTCGACGTGACGGCTCAGCTGTTCCACATTTGCGGCAAGGATTTCGACGACCAGATCTTCCACGCCCGCCGGCCTAGCGAGTGCCTCTGTGCTGTTGCGGCGGCCCGGCCCATGCGCCAGGGGGCGCCGGAGAGGGCATCGACCTGCGATGGGGGTGGCGCTGGATACCTTGAGATCTGGGCGTTGGATTTTAGGCATAACGACTTCGCCTACTTTTGTCGCCCGTGTTCAGGCCCCGGGACCTTCACCGATGGATCCGGCTCCAGAAGTGCCGCAGAAATGTTGGGTCCATGGCTCCACTCGTGGCTTCCTACGAGGCTCGATGTTTCCGCGACATCGGATCTCAGGGTAAACCTAGATCGGCAAGAGGGATCTGTGATCAGCGGGCAGGTAACGGGGTTCAGCGCGCACGCGGCTCAACCAGAGCGCTGGATCATGCAAGATTTAGGTCGGGCACGGCCCTCTACAGGAGGAATATTCCAAAATAGTCAAAAAATCGTATGGCCACGATTTTTGGTGTATTTCTAATATTGTGAAAAATATGGTAAAAGTATTCTGAAGTGTTCGTCCCAAATCTCCCTGTGAGAGGACATGCCCGACCTAATGCAAGATCCTGCATCAGAGCCAGGTTCTGGTCTGGGGGCTGGGTCTGGGGGCCAGCCGCGGCCATGCGCGGGTGGCCATCGTGTTGGGGAGCCCCCCTAACATTGCATCACAGTGGTTCTTATTTCCCGTCAGCCAGAGGTCGCCTTGGTTGAGCCGGGCTGGTCCTCGCCCGAGTTGTGGGATCGGGAGGGCCTTGGCGTCACTCGCATGTTTTTCTGGGCTCCAGCAGGATACTCCAGCCTGACAGCGGCCGAGGGGGGAAACAGGACCTCTCGGCCCTCACAACCGAGACGCTCCAGTAAGGACCATTCTTTGGGTTCGGGAGGGGCTCCTGTCTCCGGGCTGCTATGCAGACTGACTCGGGGGTCCTGTCCGTCGTCGAGTTCAGCCGTGGCCAGGAAAGCCTCCCCGTTTCACAGTCTGCGTTCTCTCTTGCAGCACGGTGGCTGGAGGTCGGGCTCTTGTTAGGGACTCCCCCGTGAGGGGCAAGACCCTTGCGAAGTGTTTTCTTCTTCGGCTGGTACTACCTCAACTGGTTCAGTGACGATGCTGATCGCGCAGATTTTTTTCGTTTACGCGCTCGGACGATAAATGGCGAGGAGGAGGAGGGGTAGGCGAAGGAGGACCAGGACGAAGGGCAAACGGAGATCGAGGAGGAGGAGGAGGAGGAGGAGGAGGAGGAGGAGGAGGAGGAGGAGGAGGAGGAGGGGGGTGAGGTGATGACGAAGAGGACATAGAAGAGAACAAGGAAACGTGGGACATCCAAAGAAAGAGAGCGAGAGAGAGAGAGAGAGAGGAAGGGGGAGATATACAGACAGACAGGCAGACAGACAGAAGGTCAGACAGGCAGGCAGGCAGAGAGACAGAGAGATAGAGGGAGAAAGATGAAGAGAGGAAGATAGAGGGACAGACAGACAGACAGACAGACAGACAGACAGACAGACAGACAGACAGACAGACAGACAGACAAACAGACAGACAGACACACAGACAGACACATAGACACACACAGACAGGCAGACAGACAGCAGAGATAGACAGACAGAGAGAGGGATATAAAGAGAGGGAGGCACAGGCAGACAGAAAGACAGAGAGAGAGAGAGAGATGGTGAGGGAAGAAGGGAAGCTTGCACTGACTTTGGGGGCGTCGGACGTGTAGGTGACCCAGGAAACGGCCAGACCCTGCCATAGGCTGGTCCAGCCAAGACATTATACGTAGCGTTTTTTTCCGAATCAACGCTCGGACGGGGCTAGGACGAGGATGAATCTTTTCCGGAGCTTGCCGAACCGCTTTCAGAGCATTCCGTAATGCTCTGAGAAGGCCGCGGCGCCCAAGACATCCTCCAGCGCCGCCGGATTTCAAAATTATTGGATGTTTCTTCACCCGATGTCACCCTCGTCCTGTCTTCGTCTTGAAAGTGACTCCATGGAGGCCTGGATCCCTTCCCCTGGACCAGTGTCTTGTTCGAGGCCGTTCTGTGGACAGTCCCCGTGGGCACCGAAGGCCCCCGAGGCCGAGAGTGCTCAAAAACAGCCTCCCGCCGTGGTTTCTTCCTTCAAGGATCTGATGGCACGAGGATTGATGGGCCTGTTTTCCACCTCCAGCACCATCAGTTGGAGGGGGACGGAGGTGGAGGAGGAGGAGGAGGAGGAGGCCGAAGAGGAGGAGGACGAAGAGGAGAAGGAGGAGGAGGAGGACGAAGAGGACGAGGAGGAGGAGGAGGAGGAGGCGGAGGAGGATGAGGAGGAGGACCCCCTCCCCCTCCTACTTGTGGCGGTGACGGTGGGAAACAAACCCACCAAGGATGTCATGGCGCGAGGATGTCTTCACGGCGCGAGCATGTCTTCCCAGAGAACCTCCACGGCGCGAGGGTGTCATGGAAGGGAGGGGGCGCCAGGGGCGACAGTGGCGCCCGAGGTGGTGGGCGTGCGGGAGGACGCGGAGTCGTTCCGGATGCCACCCCCGCCGAAGGATGCTCTAGAGGAACCGCCCTCTCGGTGCCTCTGCTGCCCCTCCCTTCCTCCTCCCGGCCTGTCCGTCTGCTCCCGCTTGGGACTCTTGGCCCTGCTGCTGCTGCTGCTGCCCCCGCCCAGCTTCTAATGCCGCTCCAGCTCCGCCTCTTCCCCTCCTCCTCCTCCTTCTCCTCCTCCTCCTCCTTCTCCTCCTCCAAGCTCCTACATAACACGTTGCTCTCATTATCCTCCTCCTCCTCTTCTCCATCTCTTCTCCGTTGCTCTTCTCCTCCTTCTCCTCCTCCTCCTATTCCCTCTTCTTCCTCCTCCTCCTCCTCCTCCTCCTCCTCCTCCTTCTCTGGCGGCCGCGCGTCCGCCCCGCGCGCCCAGAGCTCGGTGGTCGGGAGCCAGCAGGCCCCTCCCCTCTGGGAGCGGCCGCTGTCCTGGACAGCCGGCCAACCCACGGGTGAGCCGCCTCCCTCCTCAAGACGACGACTATCCGTCCCCGCCCCGGTGCTCCCCGAGCCGAAGGATGTTCTGCACGCGTCCCCCGTGTGCTCCGAGCCGCTCGCGGAGCACGCGCCCTCCGACGGTGAGAGCGCCAGGAGCGCGGGCACGGGAGGGTCCCTGACATCTTCGCGTCCGGACCTCCTCTCTCCTCATTCTTCTTCCACTCCTGCTTCTGCCTCCTCCTCCTCCCCTCCTCCTCCTCCTCCTCCTCCTCCTCCTCCTCCTCCTCCTCCTCCTCCTCCTCCTCCTCCCTCCCTCCCTCCTCCCCTCCCTTCCTCCTCCCCTCCCTCCCTCCCTCCCTCCCTCCCTCCCTCCCTCCCTCCCTCCCTCCTCCCTCCCTCCCTCCCTCCCTCCTCCCTCCCTCCCCTCCTCCCTCCTCTCTCCTCTTATTCTTCCACTCCTGCTCCTCCTCCTCCTCCTCCTCCTCGTCCTCCTCCTCCTCCTCCTCCTCCTCCTCTCCTCCTCCTCCCTCCCTCCCTCCCTCCCTCCCTCCCTCCCTCCCTCCCTCCTCCCTCCCTCCCTCCCTCCCTCCCTCCCTCCCTCCCTCCCTCCCTCCCTCCTCCCTCCCTCCCTCCCTCCCTCCTCCTCCCTCCTCCTCCTCCCCCTCCCTCCTCCTCTCCTCCTCCCTCCTCCTCCTCTCTCTCTCCCTCCTCCCTCCCTCCCCTCCTCCTCCCTCCGCCCTCCTCCCTCCCCTCCTCCCTCCTCCCCTCCTCCTCCTCCCTCCCGCCTCCCTTCTCCCTCCTCCCTCTTCCCTCCCTCCTTCCTCCTCCCTCCTCCTCCTCCTCCTCCTCCTTCTTCGTCGTGACTTGGGAAAGAGACCCACAACAGGGACCCCTCTGGCTTGTCTTGGTGGTCTGGAGGGGTGCGGCCGATCGGCCTGCTGCCTCTGTGGGCCCGCGTGTGGAGTCGCATTCGACATGGCATGAGTGCTGAATGGGAGCGCAAAGTGGACGAGTCTTTTTTGGGGGGCACGAGTGCGATCACGGCTTGTGATACAAGCGCGTGGATCCACAATGCGCGAGCTGCCTATGCTCGAGAAGTGCAAGGCCTCTGCACAGGGACCCTGTTGATTGATCTGCCAGCCGCGGAAGCGAGCAATTTCCCAATCAGTCTCGTACGCGCGCATTGCTGCCTGTATCGAGGGCCGCGCCGCGTGGCATGGCAAGGCGCGATCGGCAGGACCATAAACCCCGACGGCACGGTAATCGCAGGGTGCTCTGGTGCAACAACGTTAGCCAGGCGTCTCTTGATAGGAGTGCTTCGCAGAGCGGCGGTGGACTCCCCGACACTATGCGTCAAGAACGTCATCGATGATGTTTCGCTCCACGCGATTGGCGGCGAGGAGGTGATAGGACGAGAGATGGCGCGATCTTTCTCTTCCATAATGACGGATGTTGAGCGGATGGGCCTGTCTGTGGCCCAGAACAAGCTTGGGCTATTGGCGTCGTCGCCGACGTTGGCAAAGTTCTTGATCCAGAGCTGCCAGTTACCCGAGGCGGCCAGAAACCAGGTTCACAGGGACCTAGGGTGTGATGCCACCAATGGGGCTCGGCGGAGAGCCAGCACTCATCACGAGCGTTTTTTGGTGAAGCGCAGCACAAAGTTGGCAAGCTGATAGCGCTCCGTAGTGCAGGAGCCCCTTGCGGGGACATGTTTTGAGCGGGCATCACTTCTAAAGCGCTGCGGGGCGTTAGCATTCAAGGGCTGCCGAACGGCAAGCTGAAGAAGGTTCGCATGGTAGCGTTGCGGGCAGAAGGGCGCCTCCCGAGAGGATGCTCGCTCGACCTTGCTTCCATGTGTTCGCGAGGCGGTTGGGCCACGGACCCATTGATGCTGGTCACGCCAGATGCCCTTCGCACCAACTCGCGAATTTTGCAGGACCAGCGCCTGTCCAGCGCAGTTCTCGGATGGCCGCACAGTAGAGGCAGCCGTTTGCTACATGACCAAGCCGCTTGAGCAGGTCAAAGACCCAGTAGCAGCGCTTCTCCTCACCTGTGCGAGGGTAGGCTTTTCCTGCCTGACCCTTGGTGGAACCCACGGGGGAGAGCTGAGACCCCTGCACGGTCTCACCAGCATTCCTGGCCCGCAGGGCGGCGTTTGCAGCCAGGCGCCTAGTTGACAGGAGTGGCCTGGCGAAAATATGGGGCGGCAATGGATGGAGCGGAGATGTGTTCTGGAGACCGCTCAATGAGCTGCTGCGTGCGCGGCACTCGCCTGAGGAAGAAGGGACTGTGAACGACGGGACCTGGGGGGGCGAGGGGGCAGCGAGTGCTTCGGGGCTGAGTGATAGGCTCGCACTGGACCCAGTTCCGCCTGCATGAGCACGGTGCAATGTTGCCGAGTCAGTGCGTGATTTGCGGGGAAGAGTTCGGCACGCTTGACCACCGCCGCGTTCGCTGCCCTGCGCGGCAGGGTTGGAGGCGACAATGTGTTCTTTAGGAGCCCGCTGTGCCTGTCAGTCGCCTGGCGTCGTGCCCTGTGGAGCTGCAGGAACGTTTCGCCCGAGGAATACCCGACCCGTGCCAAGCGTTCTCTCGGCCACCTTGGGATCCCAGCTGGGAGTTCAAGGTAGAGGGTCTAGCGGCACCGTTAGCGTTGCAAGAAGGGCACGTTTTCTGTGACGGCTCGGGCTTTGATGGGCTTTTCCGTCCTTCATCGTGGTTGGGTGGGGGGTTGCTATTTTTGGCAAGGAACTCCGCGACCAGGCGGGCTCGTACGGGGTGGTTCCCCCTCTACCCAGTGCCCTGACCAAGTTGCGCGAGATGGTGAGGATTCCGCCATGCAGATCGCCATCAGAAACTTGGTGAGCAGCTTCACAGTCTACACGGACTGCAAAGGTACCCTTCAGAGCTGCTGGAACCAATGCGCGGCGAAGCAGTCCAATCTGAGAGCGCATGTCTAGAGGAGGACCTTCGAAGAAGGCTGCCCGCCATGAGTCGGTTTCAATAAAGTAGCTGCGCACTCAGGTATGCCTGATGTGCGAGAGGGCAAGATCACTCTCTTCGAGCACGAAGGGAACACAGAGGCAGATCGCCTTGCGAAGGCAGGGGTTACGCTGGCCAGGAGAGATCCCGCGGTAGGCCGCATGGCGAAAGAAATGTGTTCGATTGCCCGTTCCTTGTGTCGGTACATCAGCAGGGCGGAAGCCCACTATGCGGACCTAGGAGTGTTTGACAACATAGGAGCCCAGGGGCTCACGATGGTTCCACTTGAGGGTGATGCCGAAGTGGGAGAGTTTTTTGGAGGAGGTGAGGAGGAGAGAGGAAGCTGCTGCTGCTGCTGATCCCCCTCCGCCTCCGCCCATACTTCCCCTCCACACAGGCAGCCCGATAGGACCAATCAGCCACGAGTTGGCCGCAAGGGCCAGTGATAGTGAACAAGCTCCGTGGTCGGTGAGAGGCCATGTCTTGCTCGAGTTCGAGGTAGAGGGCGACGAAGCCCCACCCATCCTTTTTTGCACAACCCGTAGCAGATATGCCACGGCGGCAGCAGGCTCCAGAGGGCTCCGTGGTGAACGCCAAGGCTCCCAGTTCGCCCTTGTGGACCCAGGCAGGAAGAACAGCAGAGCGGTCATCAAAGGGAAGCATCCAAACAGACCGCTCAAACTGGGCCCCTGAAAGATTCCTTTGGGGCGGCGAGAGCTTGGGTGGGGGTCTTGGGCACGTCGCAGGGGCCCCGAAGAGAGACGTAAAGAAAGGTCCGTGGAGTGGCCCGCTTGAATTCGTATGTCTGGCAGACTGTCTCCGAGCGTTCGGGCTGAATGAGCTCGAGGCGCATCGTCTGGGAGAGTTAAGTGAGCGCTCTGAAGATCAGGGTCTCGCTGAAGACTCAGATGGCTGAATGTCTTCCAGGGGGGCCCCGGGGTCACGGGCAGGTCTTCGGCCTTCCTGCCTGTGACTGACAAAGGTCCACTTTGATGGGCCTCCCTGGGAGAAGCTGTTTTTTCCTGTAATAGGCTTCCCTTCCCCCTTTCCCCTCAGTGTCGTGCGATCCTCCTTCTTCGTCTCATCCTCACCCTTCTCCCAGTCCCACGCTCACGGCCCCTACAGCGGCGTCTGCCGCGCAGCCGAAAGAGCCCGCCTCGACGCAGCAGCGGCAGAGGAAGCCACGGCGGCGGCGGCCGACACAGTCCAGGCGACAGGGATGCCAGGCCAGAAGGAAGAGAGCCGAAGGGACCCAGACATGACCGCGTCATAAGAAAATCAGGACGGGAGGATTTTGGCCAGTTTCGGCCTCCGGGGGCCCTCGGCGGCCCTCGGGACCGCCAGAAACCGATTCAGGACAAACCTGGCCCCGGGGAGCGGGTCGGGACTTCCAGGGACCCCGTCCAGAAAATATCGGGACGTCGCAGGTCTGGGCTCTGGAGGAGGAGGCGCGCCAGAAGGCAGGAGAGTTACTCGCGCCCGCAGGCGGACTTCTCCTGGCCATGGCGCCGGGGGCCTCCCGGTGGTCGTTTCACCGGGAGCGGCCTGGGCCCCCGCCAGTCCGGCAGGCGCCCCCGGTGCGCACCAGACAGGGCGCCAGAGCAGGCGCGCGGGCAGCCCACTCACCCGGGGCCCGCCGCCGCGCCGGCAGCGCCGCCGCCAGGGGGAGGCGTCCTCGGGGGGCAGCACGGCCTCCTCCCCGGCAGCTGCCGCGCACGGTGGCACGTTCCCGCGCCAGCGGCGCCGCCGCCAGGGGAGGCCACTTCGGGGCAGCGCGCCGTGCTCCTCAGGGTCTGCCGTGGCTCCTCGGGTCCCTGGTCGCCTGCCGCGGGGGTCGGCCTCTCTCGGCCCCTCCATGGTCAGCACGCTGTGGCCACGCTGCGGGAGGGGGCCACTCAGGGTGGGGGGGGGACACACACAGACACAAAGTGAGTCGTCGAGTCGCAGGAGAAGACAGGACAATAGTTATGGGAAGTGGGGGGGGGCGGGATAAGAAGACCCAGAACATCTAGAAACAGGTGGGGGACCCTGGGGTTTGTTTTTATTTAGTGGTGTGTCCCTGTGCCCTGTGAGTCACCCCTTTCACTGCCCTCCCTATCCACTGCTACAACCGTGAGGCTAGCGGAGAAGTTCTGCCAGGGGACCCCCGACGACCCGCAGCGTGGCGCTCCCG